TCCTTCCTTCCTTCCTTCCTTCCTTCCTTCCTTCCTTCCTTCCTTCCTTCTTCCTTCTTCCTTCTTCCTTTGTTGTTGTTTCTTTTGTTTTTTTTGAGACAGGATTTCTCTGTGTAGCCTTGGCTGTCCTGGAACTTCCTCTGTAGATGAGGCTGGCCTCAAACTCACAGAAATCTGCCTGCCTCTGCCTCTCAAGTGCTTGGATTAAAGGTGTGTGCTACCAATACCTGGCCAATTTTCAACTTCAAGCCAGTTTTTTCTTGATTTTCAGAAAAGCTAAGTTTGTTTCAGAGTTTAGGATGTACCCCAACATTTAATGTCAAAATCAACCAGGCCTGCCTCAGAACACATGTGACTTTTTCATTCAAATCTTACTGGTCTCTCCAACTGCTAACCTTTGGTTTCTCAGCTGAGAGTTCTTCTTCCAGACCCTTGCTACAGAAAGAGTCTTTTTGCTTTTGCTTTCTGTTTGGCTACCCTCATTCTTTTCCCTGTGATAACCTGTGTTAATGGTTTTTGGTGGTGGGGCATGAAATCCATGTCTCACTCTATGTCTTTCCTCTGTTCTTGATACTTTCCTTCACTTCCTTGGACTAGGAGAACCTGTTTTCCTTTTTTCCTCACTGTCTGGAAGGAATTTTTTATACTAATTCCTCATTCTTCCAAATTATAACCTAATAGTTTAGTCTTGACATTTAAAAAAAGAAACCTACGCATGAATATAGTACCATAAAATAGATTCCTTCCAAAACCGTCTACTATTCCTTCCCTGATAGCCTTCATAGAGCCAAGTCATTTTTCTCAGTGTTAGGCCTTGACTCATGTTTGTTTTCTTGCAGGAAACTTTTACAGGTTATGCCTCTGCAAAGGTCATTCTCAGAAAATGCCTGTAGCTTCTGTGTCTTCCCATATAGACCCTAGGGACCATTGAGCATGACACATTGATAGGACTACTTACTTTTTATTTTCTCTCCTTTCTTGCTCTGCTATTTCTCAGAGACAGGGACAGATTTTGTTTTATTTATCGTTTTATCCATGAAACCTAGAATTTGTGACTTAGTGAAGAGTAGATTTATTTTTATTTTATTTATGTGGGTGTCTTCTCTGCATGTGTGCCTCTGCCTCAGGTGCACACAGTGCCTTTAGAGGCCAGAAGAGGGCCAGATACCATTAGAACTGAAGTTACAGACAGCTGCCAAGTGGGTGCTGAGAATTAAACCTGAGTACTTGGCAATAGCAACAAGTGCTCCTAACCACTGAGGCATCCCTATAGTCTCAGGCCTCACTTTTTTTTTTTAGATTTATTTTTTTAATTAATTACAGTTTATTCACTTTGTATCCCAATTGTAGCCCCCTCCCTAGTCCCCTCCCAACCCCACCCTCCCTCTCTCATCTTCTCCCATGTCCCTCCCCAAGTCTCCTGATAGGGGAGGTCCTCCTCTCCTTCCCTCTGGCCCTAGCCTATCAGGTCTCATCAGGACTGGCTGCATTGTCTTCCTCTGTGGTCAGGCCTCACTTCTTAAAGCTCCTACCCCACACTAAGCTTTCAGGGCAGAAATCCTTGAGAGACAAACCATATATAAGCCATAGCAAAAACTCAGATTCCAAATTTAGTCTGTCTAATATCAAACCTTATCTAGTAGGTAATGGCAGAGAAAATGAGGGATTGAAAAAAAAAAAAAAGATAGCCAAAGAGACCAGAAAAAGAAAACAGCATAGAAAAGGACTGAAGCCTGGCTGGAGGATGAAGGGAATGAGACTAGCCATAGAAGAGGTCATAGTATTATATATCTTACTTACCTGGCCTTTTAAAGATCCCCCATTGCTGGTCAACTGGCCCTTTAAGAATTTTTAGCTGTTAGAACTGCTTGATCCTATGACCTTCAGTGTTGATTGCTTCTTGGATTTCTGGGATATAAAAAAGCCAGCTGAGGCTTGGGGTGTAGGGGCCCAGCAGAATCAGAAGGGAAGGCAGTTGGTGGAAAAGATATTGTTAGGAGACAGTTGAGCCAGGAGAAGTTGAGCTGAGCAGATAGTCTAGAACAGCTGTCACAGTTTGGAGCTACTAGTATTGGGAAAACTGGGGGAAAGAAACTATTTAAGTAGACTATTGAGGAGCTGAGGGAGGAACTGTTGGGAGAAACATTTGAAGGGGATGGACTGGAAACTGGGAGGAAGGCTGGTGAGGAGTCAAGAGAACTGCATACTGTTCTAAAATAGCCAGCCATTTTACCAGAGATAGCATTTTTTTTTTGAGCTGATGAGTTAAGTAGCCTATGTGAATTTGCTGTTGCTATTTTAACATTTGAATGGTTGTACCATCTATTCTGAAGAATTTTTTAAATGTTTATTTATCTGTTCATTTGTGTGTGTGTGTGTGTGTGTATGGCTGTGCTCATGCCACTGCGTGAATGTGGAAGTCAAAGGACAAATCGTGGCATTTGGTTCTCTTCTTCTACCATGTGTTGTAAGGATTGAACTCAGGTTATCTGCTTTGGTGGCAAGTATCTTTTCCGGCTGATTTTATGCTTTTCCATTGCTCAGATCCCAGTTACCCTGCTTAGCAGGATGCATACTTACTATCTTCTGTTTACAAAAATAGTTTTAGGAGAGTCCTGTTTTTCCCTTCTCTACCCCTCACCTCCATTCCCTCCTCCTGCCCCCTGTCACCTCCCTCTTTCCTTATAACAAACAAGTCATCTAGGATAGTGGCTGGATTGGCAGCATCTTTGCTCATCACCATAGCCTCCATGACATCTCTGGATTTCCCCTTCCAGGGCACAGTGCACCCTGTGACCACCATCAGCAGCAGTGATGTGGAAAAGGCTTACCTGGCATTCTGTGACCCAGGAGCTGATCCCCAGGCAGCCACCTTGAAGTTCCAGGCTGGAAAACACAACTATGAGCTAGATTTCAAAGGTACCTTTTACTTGTGGAATAGAGTATAGCCCTCCCATATTAACCTGGGGGCCAAGGCTGGTATAAGAAAGGAAAGGGGATATATGTAAGGCAGGTAGACCCATCAACAGATGATACTGCCCTGCACTGTCAGGGAGATGTGCTTGGAGGATATGAGGATAAAGAGCTTTTCTGTTACATGGAAAGCCAGAGTCAGTGAGTAGAGTGTGGCTGTTCTGTTTCTGAAGGTTAACCTTCTGACACTGAAGCTACCTTTTCTGCAGGCACTTTCAGGCTTGCTGGGACAGCAGTCAGGGTTAGCATGTTATAGGACACACTGATTAAAAGTTCTGTGCTTACAGTGTCCAGAAGCTGAAGCTGAGATGACTTTTCCCATATACCTTAAGAGATAAAAGGAGACCAATCGCCCACTGGCCAGTTCTTCAGTGGCTGATTTGTGAGAATGTTTCTTAGTTTTGCTGTAGTTTCTCATGCCATCTCCATGCAAACATCCATCCAGCTCTGCTCAGCTTACCTTTGATTATGTTTAATTTTTTACATCTGACATCTTGCAATCCAGCATGTTAAAGGGACTCACTATTTTCTGTATTTTGTTTTGTGTAGAAAGCAGCAAAGTACCATTGCCTAAAACCACTTGGTTGCTTGCTTTTGGCCCGTTATTTTTGGCTTGTGCTTTTGCAGGACTTGTGGTTTTGTTCAAGGAAGACTCCCTACTGCTTGTTTTGCCTCTTAGAGAAGTTCCTTCTGTTCTCCAGGGGAATGACTCTACTAGAAGAAACCAACCAAGGTTATGAGTGTCACAAGTGGCAGTCGCTGTGATTGATGATAGTGTGTAGAAGAGCACAGGTAGATAGAAAAGACAGGAACAGTTTAAACAGCTGTCACTCCTCTCACTGACGCTAACCACAGTTTAAAACAGTTCTTTTAAAAACATCTGAAAATGTAAAACAGATACAACAAAAATGTCAGATATACCTTTAGTCCCTGGAGCAGACCTTCAGGACAAAGATATAGCTACATATCTACACATATAGTTAGAAAAAGCATGCTCACAGTGGCCTGACCTAAGGTCATTAGGTGGTCACAGTTTGCTTGTTGCTTGATGATTTTTTTGGGGGCGGGGGGGTTACATAATAGTATCTTCAAAAGAAAAGGATGGAAGTCATTGGCTTCACCTACACAGTCTCTACTATATATATTTAGAGTTTCAAACCAAACTGCCACATGTACTTATTGATTATTAGGAAGCAAATATTTTAAAAATGTATATACATAGTAGCCCAAATGACCTACTCTATAGGTGTTGGGAGATCAACTCTGTTAAGGACTCTTGTCATGAAAGAGTAACTCAAGATGATAGCCAAGTTTCTAGAAGTAGAATAACGATGTTCTGTTCACTGGCTGTCAGCAGGCAGAATTCCCCAAAGCAAGCTCATTTATGGATGTGTCCCAGGGTAAATTAAGGAAGCAACAAGGCTATTAGGGAAAGGGCTCTTTTTTCCCCCATGGAAGATTAGAGAAGGTGTCTAACATATATGTAAATAGTCCATATATCTCAAAGAGCCTGTTTTTACTAGTGAAAGGTTATCTGAGATTCATTATAGATAGTTAATAAGCAAAGTATCAGTGGGAAGGTTGAATGTTGGTGACAGAAGGGTTATGGAAGCTGTGTGAACAGTGTGCTCTAGAGATAATGAGGGTAGCTACAGTGTAAGGGACATGCCTCAGGTTATTATATAGTCCATGTTCAAAGGCAGATAAGTTCCAGACATGTATAATTTTTAATATTAAAGTGTTTCTAAAATGAAAAGAAAACTTGGTTTTATATATTTAAGTGTAAAAGTGGCACCTGATAGGGTTTCCTTGATAGAAAACATAACCTGTAGCTATGTGTCATTTTCAGTGTAAAAGGGTGGATAGATACCTACCCTCAATCCTTGGAATGAATCTGAGATTGAGGGTGGGTCAAATGTTTTGTTTATTAAAGAGAACCTGGGTTTGAAACGGTTGATAAACACTGCTATAGAATCAGTATACTCAAAAATTTAAAAAAGTCGTAAGAACAAAACGATTACCTATAAATTACCTTAACTCAAGATGCAGTAATTTAATCTCAGTCTTAGTTGGAACTTCTTTACATCCAAGCTAAGCAAAACAATAAATTTAAATATGATTGGAAGGAACAATCAGAAGCACTCATGTATAATTGATACATCAATTACTAATCATTTCACTATTCATTAAATGCAGTCTCCTAAGGATACCTGTTTTCTTTGTAAATATTTGAAATGAGTAAAATTGCCTTATTTTTAAGATTGATCTCAGGTTTTACATATTGGATTATTTGTCCAACCCATTTAATTTGTGTTGATAGAGCATTCCTGCTGTGCGTGCACCCCCACTGTGTGTGTACATGTGTTTTTTTCATTGATTTTTCTTTCAGCCTTTCTGCAGAAAAACGTTGTATATGGCACTGTCAGAAAGGTTTGCCGAAGACCCAAGTATGTGTCTCCTCAGGATGTGCAGATGAAGCAGTCCTGGTAAGTAACATTTGTGAGCTTGCTTGGTGTGTGGAATGCTTTAGTTGAGGAATACTTTGCTGACGTGTATTCTCAGAATACATGCATGTGTGACTAGCATACTACTGTCATTCAAACCTATTATTTGGGAAAGTCTTTGAGCCACAGTGAGAATTAGCATTGTAGGTTTCATTACAGAATTACAAGGTGGTCTGTTGGGATGTGCAAACCTAGCTAGATTTGAAGCCATCTCATCAGTTTGTCTTTGAATGTGACAACTGAGTTATAGAGCTAAATCTTTTAAAATGTTGAAGTAATGAAATAATGATGGGTTCATACTAATAAAAGCTTATGTATTTCATTCTTGAATATCATAGAACACCAAAATAAAGAAACTGGTATAATAGTCATTAACAAACCATCTTCCCTTTCACAATGAGTTTGTGTGTGTGTGTGTGTGTGTGTGTGTGTGTGTGTGTGTATGTCACAGGCTGGCTTTGAGGGTTCTCTAATTGAATGCATAGGTGGCACATGAGGGAGGAGAGAGACTTTCTGCAGCAGATGGAAATTCTTGAGCTTTGTACTGATCAAGTCTCCTTTAAAGCAAGAGTGGTTTAGTCTTGGGCAAGTGTGATGGGATTATAGCTATCCAGACCATGTAGTATATACTAGAAGATGATGGCCTGCAAGGTGAAGATGTACCAGGGTCCCTTTACAGTCTGAGTTTGCCATGGCCAGTGCTAGGACTTTAGGCCAACGATGTTGTTAGCTGCCTATAGCTTTATTAGCCTGAGAAACCAGGATTACTTTGGTTCTGTTGGTTCTCTGAAGACTTCAGAGGTAAAGTTTATTGAATATGTTTGTTAAACAGAAGTCATTTAAAAAAGATTTGGTATAAGTAAAAGGAAAAGTTTATCAACAGGCCAAGAAACAATTCCTTGAGACTCAAATACAGCAACATAATTTCTTGAGAATATGCCCTTCTTTTCCCTCTTCTAATTAAAGTTTATTTTGATGAAATATAAAACATGTATTTTTTTAAAAGTCAGAACTCTAATACAGTATACTCAGTTTGTGTCTGTGTTATCTCTACCCTGCTCCTGTTGTGGTAACTTTTTTTTTTTTTTTTTTTTTTTTTTTTACTTCTAATTGTTCTTTTCTGTTTTTCTTGAAAAATAAAATAATATGTATATATGCACAGGTACACATAAAACCACCTACCTGCCTACTACTTCCTTTCTTTGCTTACATAAAAGGTAACCTACTATATGTACACCATTCTGCACCTCAGAAATATCTTAAAAGTATCCTGGTAATTGCTCTGTTCAAGTCATTGAAGACTTCTGTAATCTCCTTTTGCTTGTGTGTATGTGTTTGTTAGCATTTGTATATAGCATAGTTTATTAATTTGCCCCCCTTTCATGGATGTTTGTGTTTACATATTTTTCTACTACAAAATAACAATGCCACAAACAACTCTTTGGTGTGTTTGGTGGTTGGTTGTCAGGTCAGAGTCAGAAGGCAAATTTGAGTTCCTTTCCATGAACTTTGAACATCATGGCCACCCAGCAAAATGATGATTTGCTGATTTTTCTTGGCCTTGTTTCTAGTGAATTATTAAGCTGTTGGGCTATTGCCATTCTCACAGTATACTTTAATGTACTTCCTTTTATGAATGAGATTGAGTATATATATACATATACATATTTAAAAACATAACTCTCCCACTTTATTTTTCTGCTGTAGATAATCTTTTTTAATTTAAATTTTATTTATTATAATTGTTTGTTTATGATGCGTGTGTGTGAAAACAGACCTGCATATGCAAAGACCATGCATAGAAGGTTAGGAGAAAACTTGGGAGTTGGATCCTCCTTCCATTGTGGGTGACTCCCTTTTTAATCTGTTAGGGCCTTTTAGCCCTTGGCTGCTTCTATACACTTCAAATACATTCTCTTGACTTGTTATCTGTTTTACTACCTTGCTGTTCATAAGCTATTTTTATTTTACTGTATTGGTTAAATGCCAGTGTCTTTGGTATTGCTTTCAGGTTTAGTTGTGGTTGATTATGATGGTCCTACAACTTGAAGAACTTTATGCTTTCCCTATGCAGAGCTTGCCCTAAGCAAAATTCGGAAAAGACTTTTTGTCTGTCTCTTTTCTAAGACTGGGTTTCTTGTGTCCTCATTCTAATTTAGATTTTAGGGGACCATAAACAGACATATGCTTAGCATGTGTAGTGCAAGGCCCAGGGTTTGATTCCTCGCACCACAAAAAGATAGTGATTTTGATCAAATACAAATAAGGTACAAGTGATTGAAGACTCTTCTGTGGATTGTGAGCTGAGTGCTCACCCGCACCTGCCCATGCAGCTGTGGTGCTTGGTTCCTTCCTCAGCCTCTGGACAGGAGCTAGTTGTCAGTAACTCCTAGCAACAATGGCTGCTTGGGCACACGTGAGCCATAGCATAGTCTCTAGGAGCATCATTCAATGTAAAATTTGAAACTGCATTTTTATCATTGAGTTCCATATTTTATAAACATAATCCAGGGCTGGTAAGTTGGGTCAGTGGGTAAAGGCATTTGCTGCCAAGCTTGACACAATCCAAATTCAATCCCTTGGACCCACGTGGTGGTAGGAGGAACAACTAGAAAATTTCCTGTGGACTCCGCATGCATATTGTGATGTGTGTGTGTGTGTGTGTGTGTGTGTGTGTGTATGTGTATGTTTGCATGTGTGCAAAATAAATTTTTTTTGTTTTAAAATTATTTTTTCCCTACTAGTTTGGAAGTTGTTTGGTATGTTAGAGACAATGTAAGAAACTATGTGCGTTCTTCACTTAGGCACAAATGAATGACTGTTTTTGCTTTCCTACTGTAAGGCCTTCATACTTTCCTCTTGATATTTTTAAATTTTAACTTTAAGAGACACTGTTTTATACTGTGAAAGTCTCATTAAATTACTCACGTTCTAACCTTGATTTGTCTTTTCAAATTCCTTAGATGAGATCTCATAAGGGAAGAAAGCAGCATCTGTTTCTAGTTTGGCTGAATGTCTTTGACAGTCTACTGGGTGTAGACTCGTGGGCTCTGGTTACTTTCTCTTAGAACACTGAAGCTACTACTCTGTCTTCTGCTTTCCATTGTAGCTTTTGAAAAGCTGGCCTTGGTTTCACTGGTATTTTTTGATGCTATCACACTTTCCCCCCCTCTGGATAATTTTAGAGGTCTTAGGCTTGGAGTTCTGTACCTCACTGTGTTGTATCTAGGCTTGTGTTAGCTTAAGAGACTGTGGGCCTCTTAAGCTGTTATTGATGTGTTTCCTTGGATCTGTTCTGTGTAGAGCTTCCTCAGGTTCTGATGGATTCCCACTAGGCCTTTCTTCCACATTTCCCATCTCCTTGCTCCTTGAACCAGTTTCTGAATATTTTCATTTCACATATCTTTCATCTTACTTCACTCTTCAGATGGGTGAGTCTGTGAGTTAGCCTGTCCATTGGTTTTTTCTTGTCAAGGGTTCACTCTACTTTTCCAGCAGTCCTGCTTGGTTCTTGTTAGGTTCTTGTAGGTCTTTTAATGGTTTTTCCTACATTTGTGTTCCAAGTGTTTTCCTTAAGCATAGGAAGAAGAACTCCTGGCTTATAATCTGTTTGATAATTTCACCATCTTAATAGGTGAAAAAAAAAAAAAAACAACAAAACTTGTGGTTGGTTATTACTGATGGATCCTTTCTTAGTTATTTTTAACTTGTGGCATTTCCCTAGGAAAATTATTTGAGGGATTTTCTGGAGACTTTGAGGTGAAGGGACATGTCCCATGCCAGCAGAAACAAAAGGTAGATCTGCTGTAGGAAGGACAGTGGAAGTTTCAATTTAAGGGAACTGAACTGATAGGTAGTCTTCACAGTGACATTCCTAATCCCTTTGAGTCATATTCTTTTTTAGTATGGCTTTTATTTGTTTATAATTTTAGAAGATAATGTAGTGCCACCGTTACATGACGCCCTTTAATTTAGCTCAATCATGAGTGTGTGTGTGTATTCAGAAAATAATGCACATTTAAGGACAAATAACTGACTACAAATAACCTCTTATAAGCTTTACTCAAATTTCTGTTACCAAGTGGGTTTGGGGGCCAGTTATACAGCATTAAAAATATTATCTGTATGTCAAGTGCATATCATTAAGGCTTCAAAAAAAGTCTTTGGTGTTTTTTGAATTTCAAGACTTGGATGAAAGCTGGGGCCAGTGTATACTCTTCAGTCAAGTTCTCTGTCCCATCTGTGTGGTTGGTGGGGTGCAGGTGAGAAGTACATCTCTCAGGACCTCTTGGTTTGGCTGGTAGGCAAGATGAAGGTGCTGTTGTGTATTAGATACTGTGCTATGTGCCTCCTTGTCCTCTAGCTTTTAAATACATTATACTGAGACTTGGGACTAGTGATATTGGTGAGAGAGTTCACTCGTGATTGAATTCCATATGTCTAAGGATTAAGAGTCTTAAGTTTTGTTTACTTTTTAGCAATACTAAGTTCCAAGGCTCAAAGAACATCCCAGACTACTGGGACCCTACAGCCCTGCCGGACCTGGGATTTAAGGTACGGGATTTACATACCTTGGAGCTAGACAGAAAGGGTTCTGTAGAGATTGATGAGTGTGGAAAGAGTGCTTTATTCAACTGTGGTGTGTAGTACCAAAGGGTAGAGATGCATGTGGGCTTTCTGTTCTGTTTTTGTAGATCTTGGGCATTTTAAGGCTGGGTGATTTTGTATGGGTTGACTGTAGCTCCCAGGGAAAGGAGGTGAGTGGTGTGAGGAGGTGAGTGGTGTGAGGGGAAAAGATAAAGCTGTGACATTCGCTAGGGTGGGCAGAAATAAGGATCTTCCAAGCAAGGCTGGACTAATAAATCTGCTTGACTAAGAAATATAAAGAAACACGGGAAATTGAGAGGGGGAGACACTAGACAGCAATGGACAGAGGTAGCTCATTTGAGGTCTGCTTTCTGGGAGCATACTGTGCAGCAGAACACTGTCCTGACGTATGTCCTCTACTGCTCTGTCAGTATGAGGCACATTGGCTGATTTCCAATGCTGGGAACTCATCCTGACATCCTGGAGACACTTAGGATGGGTGGCTTAGGCACTACCTGCCTGCCTGTGTGTGGGTCATTTTCAATGTGAACAAGAGGGAAATTACTGTACTTTGTAAAGATTCCATATATGGAGAGACTACATCTCAGGGAAGAGGGACCAAGCCCTCACTCTTTGGCTTTATCCTGAAGTTATGGATGTTCCTAGTAGTCACAAAAACAGTTCATATATTTGAGTCATAGGACAATAACATATGAAATATATTTTCCCCATGTAGAAGATCATTCTCAGTTCTTCCTCAGAAGAGTATCAGAAGGTGTGGAACCTCTTCAACCATACACTACCTTTCTACTTCGTTCAGAAGATTGAGCGGATCCAGAACCTGGGCCTGTGGGAAGTCTACCAGTGGTATGTGTGACTGATAGCTCTCTTCCTTACTCTGCTAGCTGATGACCAACATGCCCTGCCTCTCCAGGACAATCAGAGGCAGCACCGTACTCTCCCAGGGCTGTTATGTGCCATGAACTGTCTGTGTTCTCTTACTTGCTCATCCTAAGGCTGTGTGATGAAGTGGCCCTTTGTAAAGATGAGGAGACTAAAGTTCCCCTAGCACAGGCCCTGTTCTCACTGTGACTAGCAAAGCCAGACTCCACTCTTGTCCATTCTGACTCTCTGAAGATCAGTGGTACAGAGCAAGACAGTTCGCTCACACCATCAGCCTCAAGAACTTAAAGCTGTAGCCAGAGAGTGGGGGTACCATCTGTCCATCCATCCACCCACCCACCTATCTGTCTGTCTATCTATTACTTACATGAGGACTGGTATGCTCGTGGTCACCCAGCATTTCTCTACATAGAGTAGAAATTCATCATGGCTCTCCATGATGCCCTAGGGCCTGCTGGCTTCAAATGGGCCTGGGACAATATCATAACATTCTGCAGTGGTGGATAAAGCCCCATAGTAGAGAGGGGAGGATGGGCTCTGAAGGTGAATGCCCCTGTAGCAACCTTACAACTTTACTTCCCAGCTTCCCAGGGTTAGTTCCACTCAGTAGCTGGGTGGAAGAAGACCCCATGAATGCTTCTGAGAGTGGTTTTGCTTTTAGAGCCTTTTGTTATGGAGGGGAAGCTTTGCTTTTGTTCATTGACCTTGCCACCTGTGCTCTGTGGCTTGAGCCTCTAGGGACTGGCCAGAGCAGCCACAGCCAACTTCTAGTCACATGACATTTAAAAAAAAAAAAAAAAAGAAAATGGTGAGTTCAGGGGGCTGTTCTTTGGCGATTAGCACCTTCTTTCCTTAACATGCATGCTCTACCATTCTAGGCAAAAAGGGCAGATGCAGAAGCAAAATGGGGGGAAGGAAGTAGATGAGAGGCAGCTGTTCCACGGTACCAGCACCAACTTCATAGATGCCATCTGCCAGCAGAACTTTGACTGGCGGGTCTGTGGTCTGCATGGCACCTCATATGGCAAAGGTAAGGCAAGGGTGGCCTTCACCAGTACTTGGGAAACTACTTGAAGGCAGCCTTACAGAGGCTACCAGAGAAGCCAGCCAGCCCATGCTGCCAGCGACAAGTGCATGGCCTCTGGCCTTGGTGGGCCCACTCCCTGAGCTGGCAGTGCTCTGGCTTTTGCTGTTATATGTGATCAAGAGCTTAGTCAACTTATGGCACTTGAGTCTTGCCTTACTGGGGCTTATTTCCTGTAGAATGGAGCTCTGAGAGGTAGTGAGAGTTGGAAAAGGAGAGCAACATGTTTCTAACCTTGCTGAGTACTCTCCGCTGTGCCTTACTGTTGTCCTTAGAATAGAAATCTGAGAGTGTCATTCTATCTAGCAAATGAGCTCTCCTAGCATTTTTTTCTCTTGGTCATTTAAAAACATTATTTGGTAGTTATTTCAAACTCCCAGGAAGCTGTGTGCTTATATACTTGTACACAGATGTCTTGCATAGCTTGAATGCACAATCCTCAGTTTTAATATGTTGCCATGTTGGTTTTTATCACCTTTTTATTTCTGAACCATTTTCAAGTATCTGGTATCTCTGGTACACTTTCATCCTTCAGTACTGATTAAGAAGGCTTTTTTTTTTTGTTTTGTTTTGTTTTGTAGCCACATTGTAGTAAGCAAATGCAGAAAATTCAAGAATCTGTTTGTTAGCCAGGCATGGTGGCACATACCTTTAATCCCTCTCGGCAACAGGAGTCAGAGGCAGGTGGATCTCTGTGAATTTGAGGCTATTCTGTTCTGCATATGGAGTTCCAATAAAGACTCCATCACAAACAAACAAAAAGAAATCTGTTTGTCTTAACTCCATGGACTACCTGTTTGTCAGTTTCAGTCTGATGTGGTTATGTTTGTGTGATCGACAAGCTAGTGATAGGTTTGTGAATCCCATGTTAAGAGAGTAACTTCTAGTTTAGCTTCCCATTAGAAAAGAGTTGCTGCTGGTGTCTGTAGAATGGTTCGCTAAGAATAGTGTTACTCATTTTCCATGTCATGCAAGTAAGGCTGGGTGGGCCAGCTCCATTCTATAGATAGGAAAATGACGTCTAGAACTAAGTATTGACAGACTTTTTAGATTTTCAGTGGATTCAGAAGTGAGAGTCGGAGTTAGGTGACCTCCTTGGATGCCCTGCCACACAGATAGGTGTTGATGGCCTTCATGAGTAAGGAATAAGGTAGAGAACTGGAGTGGAAGAGGGGGGTGTCTTGTTGAAAGGGCAGAGACTACTGGCATAACCCCGGATGTGCTCTTCAAGTACCCTGTGAAGCTTGTCTGTCTCGTTCCAGGAAGCTACTTTGCAAGAGATGCTGCCTATTCCCACCACTACAGCAAATCCGACACACACTCCCACTCCATGTTCCTGGCCCGGGTGCTGGTGGGAGACTTCGTCAGAGGCAACGCTGCCTTTGTCCGCCCTCCAGCCAAGGAAGGCCAGAGCAATGCCTTCTACGACAGCTGTGTAAATAGCATGTCCGACCCAACCATCTTTGTAGTTTTTGAGAAGCACCAGATCTACCCCGAGTACCTCATCCAATATTCTACCTCCTCAAAGCCCCCAGCTGGACCCTCTATCTTTGTTGCCCTGGGCTCCTTGTTCAGCAGCCGACAGTGAGTGTGGCCAGGACACATTAGGCCTTAATGGCACATCTGTCTGGAAGAGCTGTTCAGAAAGTCTTTCTTATTTTAACAAAACTTTTAATGAACTCTTGTTTAATGTTGGCTTCTCAGTGAAGTTACCTTTTTTTTCTCCCTCCCCAGTGCTGGGGATGGAACCCAGGGCCTTGTGCTTGCTCGGTAAGCACTCTACCACTGAGCTACACCCCCAGCCCTTTTAAAATGCTTTTATTATGAGGCAGGGTTTGCTAAATTACATTCTGCCTCAGTCTCCTGGGCAGCTGAAATTACAGGCCTATGTTACCAGGCCTGACTTGAAGCCACAAACTTAATCTCTGGCTGATAAAAGTTTCAGTTTTTAGGTCCTTTCAGGTTGGCTTATGATCTCACCAGTAATGATTGTGAGCCCAGGTTTGCCTTTTAATAATGTTAGCATTGTATTTTAACTCTTGATTGACTTTGATGTTTATAAAGACCAAGCACAGAATTTCTACGTACTGTTTTATGGATTTGTTAAAACTTTAGGAGTTTATGTCTCTGTAACAATTCTGGTTTTGGAGGGTTTTGTGGTCCATTTTGCTTTTTGTCAGAGTAACATAGTGGCCTTTAGGGAAGGGAACTAGAGGGATGACCTCAGCAGTCACTTTTGCCCACTGCTTTGTCACTAACCCAGGCAATTTTTGGTGTAAATGGAGCACAATTCCCTCTGGCAGAGACATAGACATAGATGAGTGTCCCCCTGAGTCCTGGGCTTGGCCCACAAGTGCCTGTACCCAAATCCCTTAAGCACACTGGACACCTTCCAGGTTTGGATTTTATGTCCCAATGAGATTGCCAGTGCTGCAAATGTCACATGAGAGTATGGAAATAAAACACTATCTGGAGTAGATGAAGACTGGAGTTCGTTTTTCAGTGTCTGTTTATAGAGAGTACCAGGCCCTTTCCTGGGTGTTGGGATTATCTTGGTCCTGTGGGCTAATAGAACCACCTATAGTGGTTTTAATGCGTACTAGGCATTTGTTGTTCAAGGTTTTGGAGACTAGGAGGTTAAAAATCAAGGTACCTATAGATTCACGGTAAGGATCATTCCTCATAGCTGGACATCTGTGTCCCAGGCCCTTTATTATATAAGGGTGTTAATCTCACTGATGAGAACTTTCTGCTCTGGACCTAATCACCTAGAGAACCTACATTCCCAAACCATCACCAGTGAGTACAGTGTCCTTTAACCTGTGATATTATAAGTTTATTAGAAATTTCCAATACATCTCTTTGCCCTTACTTCAGAAATCAAAGCATAATGAGTCTTTAGAGCCACTTTGGAGACTGAGTGTCCATACTCATTATTCTCTGAAACCCATGAATTACAAGAAGCTATAAAGGTCAGTGCTAGTGCTGTCAGGAGCATTTACCTGAGTGTCCCTGCACTTTAGAATACTTCTGCCCGGAGGCCAGGACTTCCTAAGACACCATACTCTCTTATGTAAATACTCCTTTATTTAATCTCAGTTCCAAGAAAACCATGCTTTGAACCACACTGGCAATGTCAAAATGAAGCATGACATTTATTAAACATTTAGGAATTATGACATCAGTAACTAATGCTCACATGCCATGTACTAATCATCCTAAGATAACGGTATCTTTAAACATTTCATCTCCCTTCTCCCCGCTGAGAGGCTTTTGTTTGAATCCTGGGCACCCTTTAACAGTGATCTGCAGATGTTACCATTACAAGGTGCTCCGTTTTTCCCATGTACCTTCTAGGTCAGCGTGACACAATCTTGATGTAGACTCCATTTTTAGGGCCTAGGGCAGATCTGGAGTCTACCTGAAGTGGAACCTAAAGTAGAGTAAATTAAAATATTCATCAAAGTTAACCATATCCACCAGAAAACTTCTTTCACCTGAAGCTGTTGGCTGGGAGACAAGACCTTTGGGATCAGAAGGAGCCAGAGGGGGAGTCCCTGGCTTCTGAAGGGAAAGCTGCACAGCCTAAAGTCGTCAGTGGCAGCTATGAGGTGCTGTTGTACTGAGGGTGATGCTAATAGGAAAATACAGCCTGGGGTAATGGGCCAGCACTAAGCCCAGCACAAAACGTTCATTCATCTCCCTTAACCTGGAGGATGGGATGGAGGCTGCTGTTTTCCTCATACTCTTCGATCAAGAGATAGGCTTCCTTGAGGGGAGAGGGACTAGTCCTGGCCCTGGAAGGGGCTGATGGACTGTGGGGCAGAGAAGCATTGTGGGCCCCATCCTGGAATACCAGACCCTTACCTGGGTCTCAGGGCTAGCTTCAAAGTGGAACTTGTGTAGGGCCTGGAGTAGCGTCAGCTTGACCACCAGCAGCCCCAGCCGCACCCCGAGGCAGCTCCTGGGACCAGCTCCAAAGGGCAGGTACATGAAGGGCCTCTGCTGAAGCCAGGCCTCTGCTGTGAACCTATAGGTCATATGAAGGTTACAGTTGGCCTGAAATGCCTGCTAAATCAGTGGTTCTCAGCCCTCCTAATGCTGTGACCCTTTAACATAGTTCCTCATGTTGTGGTGACCCCCAACCCTAAAACTATTTAATTGCTTTCATAACTTAATAACTAATTTTGCTATTGTTATTAGTAGTAATGTAAATATCTGCTGTGTGGGATATCTGACATGTGAGCCCAAAAGGGGTTGAGACCCACAGGTTCAGACCCCTGATCTGAAGTCCCATTTTTGGCTGAGATCCCTTTGTTCCATCAGGGCCAACAAGATCCTGTGTACAGGACTGTCCTCAGGGCTCTGGGTAGCTGGTAGCCTCTGACCACCATACCTTAGTACTTCTCCTTGGCACTTTGTCTTGGCATTTAGTCTTGTTCCATTCAGACAGTCACTGAGTGTACCCTCTCACCTCACCTAGGAAGTCATCATTATCCAAGTGTGTGGTAGGCCAGGGCTACAATCTGAAATCCCAGGGCTTGACCAACATATCTTGACCTATCATGCCTCCCCTCCCCTCACATTGGACCACACAGCGAAATTTCTAGGCAGTTTAGATCCTTCACATCCTTGAAGCCGCCTCAGGGACCCAATCTGCTATCTCATTGAAAACTGGCATCTGCTTCCCCACCACACTGGCTTTGCTGGTCAGGATGTGGGAGGCTTGAGCCCCTGGAAGCCTCCAGATTTGGACTGCTGGCAGAATGGTTAGACTTGCTATCAGATCTCATCCCTAGTTCTGTGGAGACTGGCACCAATCTGTGCCAGCCAGCTTGCCCACTTTGACCACGTCTGAGTTTGTGATCCTGGGAGCCCCACAGCTGCTGTTTCTGGTTATGAATCTTTGTCACATTTGTAGGACCCACTGAGGTGGGAGATGCTAGTTAATCTGAGTGTCACCCCCTGAGCACATTGTAGAGGTGGGCTGGGCTCAGGTGGCGTCAGTAAGAGGAGAAGCACAGCTACTCCTTACCTGCCTCCCTGGGGGGTCATAGAGGAAGGAAAAGTGATGACTCTAACAAGGAGCAGGGCATGAGGGCTACCCAGATATTTATACCACAGAGCCTAGACATGAAATTGACAGTGGACCAGAACCATGTCCATGAAAGGAAGAGGATCCAGGTCTACTGGATCTCATGAATTTAGGCTTAAAGGGCAGCTATGCTGATATGGATGCACTGGGTGGAAGGGATGTTTTGTTGATTTCTTGTGCGCACACAAAATATAACCATGCAAGGTGGAGAGATGGTTCCATGGTTAAGATCATATACCATTCTTGTAGAGGACTAGAGTTTGGTTCCGGGTACCTGTGTTGGGCAGCTCCCACCTGCCTATAGCTCTAGCTCCATGGGACCTGATGCTCTTCTGCCCTCCATAGGTATCTATTCTCATACGCACACAATATACATAATTAGAAATGAAATCTAAAAATCTGAAACAACAACGGCAACAAGCAACCCTACCTCCTGTGTCCTGCCCTCGACAAACAAAAGATAGTGGTCCTGTGTGAATTATTGTTGTCATGCTAGACCTCTGGATTCAGTTTTTTCTTTGGAAACGATGCCACACAACCTATCTGAATTGGTGTGATCCTTGTCCAGGAATGACTATACCCCTGTCTCCTGGCTGCTTACTCCACAGCAAAATTTTTATCCCATACCCTCACATCCCTCAAGGACTCCTGTTCTAGACAGAATTCACTTACCTTTCAGGATTAAGGGTCTCAGGGTATGGCCAGTGCTCTGGGTCATGGTGTAGGGCACCCACAGCTATCTCCAGCACAGTACCTCAGGGATATGCTGTCCCAGCACCACACAGTCCTGTGCTGCCTCCCGTGTGAACCTGTGGGAGACAGATGCAGGAAACCTTGCCATGTGCAATCAGGTAGGGGCTTCAGGTTGTCACGGGGCCCAAGATGGGGTGTGGAGTGATGTTGGAGACAGGGGATCCAGCCCTCTTCCCAGGGTGAACCATACAGAAACCAAGCTGTTGTCCCCCAAACCCTCTACTCCCAAGGAGCCTCCAGTCTCATGTCTGTGACATGCATGGCTGTTGGAGATAATGTGTCATCCATGGGCTGAGCGCTGGAGAGCCCTCCATGTACCTGGGAGTTGCAGAGGTGCCTTCCGGGGGCTGTGTTCAGGCCAAGCTACTGCCTCTCTTGTTTCCTCACTTACAGTTAACCCTCCTCTTATTACCCCTTTCACTTCATGTCCTCTCATCTGGTAGCAGAGCCCTGTTGTCTGCATTCTGTCCCTGTCCCCCACTCCATGGTTGGTCCTCATGATAAGATTGTGAAAATAGTGGGGGGCCCATCCTGTGGACCTGCAACCTACATCTTAACTTAGCCCATACGTCCCTTGACTAATGGTGGATCGTTCATTAATGGATGATCCTGGTTGGCAACTTAACTACATCTGGAGTTAACTGGAACCCAACGAGCTGGATACACTTGTGAGCTACTTTTCTTATTTGAAATGGGAGTTATTTGAGTTATTTGAGATGGGAGACCCACCTTAAACCTGGGCCATACCTCTGCTCGCCACCAACGTAAAAGGACATGGAAGAAGTAAGCTTTGCTTTTTGCCTGCTTGTCCTCACTCTCACTGGCAAGTTCATCTATCCTGTTTATGAACCATTGCTTCACTGGTGTTAGAACCTGTTTCTTCAGGATTCCAATGCAGATTGAAAACCTTTAGCTGTCTAGGACTTCCCCGGGACTCCAGCACAAGGCTGGGACCGCTGAGACATCCACTCTCATGGACTCAACAACTCCCAGAGTCTTTCTCTTTCAGGAGACAGTTGCTGTCGGCCTCCTCAGACCACAGCCGTAAGCCACTCTAATAAGTCCCACGTATGTATATTTTCATTCTATCAATTCTGTTGTGTTAAAAGAATCCTGACTAATAACAGCGATATTTCATGGAATAAAGCTGTGACTAGGAGAAAACAGATCAGAAACCAGGAAGCTGGAAGCATTTTGGGATGCACAGGGTTGCTAGTTTGGAACGGATAGCTGGGACTAGGATCATGAGAAGGTAAGGGGGCGAGAGCTGCCCTACAGCATGAGGTATCTGCCCACTCAGGCTGCATGGAGTGTGGAGCCAGGGCTGTGAGACCAGAGCTGGGTCTCTGAGCCGCCTTTACTGGCTCTCCCCCAGGAGCCTGTCTGTGATGACTGTTGTTGGTTCTCGGAGTTCTATGTCTTGTCTAACCACAGCTTCTTACAACCATTACTTAAGAAATGCATGAATCCTGTTGTTCTGTTCAGAAGACAGTGTCCTTTGCTTTACAGAAGCTTTTCAGCTTCATAAGGTCCCATTTATTGATTGTTGCTCTTAGAGCCTGTGCTGTTGGTGTTCTGTTCAGGAAGTTGTCTTCTGTGCCAATGAGTTCAAGGCTCTTCCCCACTTTTTCTTCTAACAGGTTTAGTGTGTCTGGTTTTATTTTTTCTTTTCTTTCTTTCTTTATTTTTATTATTAGTTGCATTATATTAACTTTGTATCCCAGCTGTATCCCACTCCCTCATTCCCTCCCAATCCCACCCTCCCTCCCTCATCTCCTCCCTGCCCCTTTCCAAGTCCACTGATAGGGGAGGACCTCCTTCCCTTTCATCTGACCTTGTTTTATTAGGTATCTTCAGGACTGGCTGCAAAGTCCTCCTCTGTGGCCTAGCAGGCTGCTCCGACCTTGAGGGGTGGGGAGGTCAAAGAGCCTGCCATTGAGTTCATGTCAGAAATAGTCCTTGTTCCCTTTACTAGGGAACACACTTGGATACTGAGCTACTATGGGCTACGTCCAAGCAGAGGTTCTAGGTTATATCCATACATGGTCCTTGGTTGGAGAAACAGTCTCATATAAGACCCCTGTGCCCAGATATATTTGATCTTTGTGGAGCTCCTGTCCTCTCCAGGTCATATTAACTCCCCTTCTTTCATATGATTCCCTGTACTCTGCCGAAGGTTTGGTTATGAGTCTCAGTATCTGCTTTGATACACTGCTAGGTAGAGTCTTTCAGAGGCCCTCTGTAGTAAGCTCCTGGCCTGTTACTTGTTTTCTCCTACATCCAATGCCCATCCCATTTGTCTTTCTAGGTGAGGATTGATCATCTTACCCCAGGTCCTCTTTCTTGATTATCTTCTTTAGGAGTATAGATTTCATTATGTTTATCATATCTTATAGGTCTAAATAAGTTAGTATGTACCATGTGTGTCTTTCTCCTTCATGGGATATTTCACTCACAATGATCTTTTCAATCCCACCATTTGCCTGCAAATTTCATGATTTCCTTGTTTTTAATTGCTGAGTAGTATTCCATTGTGTAAAAATACCACAATTTCTGTATCCATTCCTTAACTGAGGGACATCTGGGTTGTTTCCAGGTTCTGGCTATTACAAATAAAGCTGCTACAAATATGGTTGAGCAAATGTCCTTGTTGTGTACTTGAGCATATTTTGGACATATACCTAGGAGTGGTATAGCTGAGTCCTGAGGAAGCAGTCTTTCTAATTGTCTGAGAAAGCGCCAGATTGATTTCCAAAATGGTTGTACCAGTTGGCATTCCCACCAGCAATGGAGGAGGGTTCCCCTTTCTCCACAACCTCTCCAGCATGTGTTGTCATTTGAGTTTTTTATTTTAGCCATTTTGATGGGTGTATGGGTCCCAGGGCTGTTTTGATTTGCATCTCTCTGATGGTTAAGGATGTTGAGCATCTCTTTAAGTGTTTCTCTGCCATTCTATATTCCTCTACAGAGAATTCTCTGTTTAGAATTCTCCATTTTTAATTGGATTGCTTGATTTATTGCTTTTTAACTTCTTTAGTTCTTTAAATATTCTGGATGTCAGCCCTCTGTCAGATAAAGGGTTGGTGAAGATCCTTTCCCAGTCTGTAGGCTGTCGTTTTGTTCTGACAACAGTGTCTTTTGCTTTACAGAAGCTTTTCAGTTTCATGAGGTCCCATTTATTGATTGTTGCTCTTAGAGCCTGTGCTGTTGGTGTTCTGTTCAGGAAGTTGTCTCCTGTACCAATGAGTCCTAGGCTGTTCCCCACTTTTTCTTCTAACCGATTTAGAGTATCTGGTTTTATGTTGAGGTCTTTGATCCACTTGGACTTTAGTTTTGTGCAGGGTGATAAATATGGATATATATTCATTTTTCTACATGTAGACATGCAGTTGGACCAGCACCATTTGTTGAAGATGCTGCCTTTTTTCCATTGAATAGTTTTGGCTTCTTTGTACAAAATCAAGTATTCATAGGTGTGTCAGTTTATTTCTGGGTCTTCTATTTGGTTCCATTGATCCTCCTTTTTGTTTCTATGCCAATACCATGCAGTTTTTATTACTATTGCTCTGTAGTACAGCTTGAGGTCAGGGATGGAGATACCTCCAGATGATCTGTTGTTGTACAGGATCGTTTTGGTTATGTTGAGGTCTTTAATCCACTTGGGCTTTAGTTTTGTACAGGGTGATAAATATGGATCTATTTGCATTTTTCTGCAGGTAGACATCCAGTTAGACCAGCACCATTTGTTGAAGATACTGTCTTTTTTTTCCATTTTTTGGGGGCCTTCTATTCTGTTCCATTGACCCACCATTCTGTTTCTATGCCAGTACCATGTAGTTTTTATTACTATTGCTCTGTAGTACACCTTGAGATCAGGGATGAAGATACCTTCAGATGATCTGTTGTTGTACAGGATGGTTTTGGCAATTCTGGGTTTTTTGTTTTTCCATATGAAGTTGAGAATTTTTCTTTCAAGGCCTGTAAAGAATTGTGTTGGTATTTTGATGGGAATTGCATTGAATCTGTAGATTGCTTTTGGCAGGATGGCTATTTTCACTATGTTAATCCTACTGATCCATGAGCACAGGAGATCTTTCCATCTTCTGATATCTACAGACTGGGAAAGAATCATCAACAACCCTATATCTGACAGAGGGCTGATTCCAGAACATATAAAGAACTAAAGAAGTTAAAAAGCAACAAATCAAATAATCCAATTAAAAAATGGGGTACAGAGCTAAACAGAGAATTCTCTGTAGAGGAATATAGAAACACTTAAAGAAATGTTCAGCGTCTTTAGTCATCAGAGAAATGCAAATCAAAATGACCCTGAGATTTCACCTTACACCCATCAGAATGGCTAAGATCAAAAACTCAAGTGACAATACATGCTGGAGAGGTTGTGGAGAAAGGGGAACCCTCCTCCATTGCTGGTGGGAATGTAAACTTGTACAGCCCCTTTGGAAATCAATCTGGTGCTTTCTCAGACAATTGGGAATATGGCTTCCTCAAGATCCAGCTATACCACTCCTAGGCATATATCCAAAAGATGCTCAAGTACACAAGGACATTTGCTCAACCATGTTCATAGCAGCTTTATTCGTAATAACCAGAACCTGGAAACAACCTAGATGTCCCTCAGTTAAGGAATGGATACAGAAATTGTGGTACATTTACACAATTTACTCAGCAATTAAAAACAAGGAAATCATGAAATTTCCAGGCAAATGGATGGAACTAGAAAAGATCATCCTGAGTAAGATAACCCAGAAGGAGAAAGATACACATGGTATATACTCACTTATAAGTGGATATTAGACATATAATATAGGATAAACATACTAAAATCTGTACCTAAAGAAGCTAAGCAAGAAGGAGGACCCTGGGTAAGATGATCAATCCTCACTCAGAAGGACAAACGGGATGGACATTGGAAGGAGAAAACAGGAAACAGGACAGAACCTACCACAGAGGGCCTCTGAAAGACTCTGCCCAGCAGTGTATCAAAGCAGATGCTGAGACTCATAACCAAACTTTGGGCAGAGTGCAGGGAATC